GTTCGCACGAGACTTCCTCCAAAAGTGAAGCGCCAAGTCTCTAAAACGAGCGGCTCTTACGAGACTTCCTCCAAAAGTCACGCGTCGACGCGCACGATCCTCGCCACGTTTGAGCACTCGACACGTGCGATCCTCGCAGAGGGTCACGTTTCGTGAGCTCCGGCCGGACCTGCCCGCGGCCTTAAGAGTAGAAAGAAACTTATAAAGAAGTCGAACCGAAATGTTTTTCGTAGGTGAGATTTAGTGGGTTTTTGAGTGTGATGATGATGATGATGACGATGACGATGACGATGACGATGACGATGATGATGATGATGATGATGATGTGATAGTTGCGAATCGATAAAGATTTTGTTGGAAGATGATGTGAGCAGATGTCCTTTGGAAGAAACCCTTCGCAGGCGCTTTCGAAAATTAATTGCGTCAAGAATAATTGTTTAAACAATAGTCTATCGTTTTTCTACAGAACATGTCAACAGAACTTTCGTCTTGACAGGTTGTTTTTGGCTCCGAACATATGGAGGTCTGCACCGCACCATGCAGCTTTCGCCTGGCCTTAGCAAGCCAAAGGACGGAAAATCGGTTTGATTATGTTTGAAGGACAGTGCTGCAAAAGAAAGAGAAAAAAGATATCAGGACGAGCAACAAAAATCAAATCCGAACGAGAGACGGTATTGTTTTTACAACGCTCCAGGCCAGCCTCCTCGAAGATATGTCGGGCAAGGCAGAGGCCAACACCGCTTGCACAAAACAAAAGGGCAGTCATCCACAGGCAACGTACAGTATATATTTCGCATGGTTCGTTTCAGATTGCATTTTGGCACATGCAAAGGGTGGACGCGGTGTGCGGTGTGCAACAAACGCAGTGTCCCTTCGTCTCCAGCGCAGAGTCTCTCTCATCTATGTCCAGAACCCAGCCCTTGCTTGGCATATGTTGGCGCTAGCACGCTGCACCCCCCGTCAATGCCAGCGAAAACGCATGCGTTTGCAGGAGCATGTTCAAGTATTAACACCTCTGCGTGTTTTGCATTGGTACTCTTATATCCTGCAGATCGCGCGGTCCCTTTGTTGTCGGGATGCAATTGGACTCCATGTTTTGATCCTTGTTGGCCATGTACCGAACTAGACCAGTCAGATTGGCGCAACGGATTTGTTCAATGGTTGCATTCCAACATTAAAAGCACCAAAGTTTCACACCTGAGAAATGTTTGCGCCACAAAAAACACTGCGATCTGAGCAAAAGGACCCCTCGTTCCCGCAGTCAAAAACGTAGAGGCACCTGGTTCAACAAACAACATGTCAATGTTGCCAATGTCTTCAAAATGTTGTCTCTCTTCACGACGTCTGTTTCTTGAACACATGCTGAAATAGAGTGATTACGTGTCTGTGACCACCTGCCATGCGCCTACTGACCCATCTGGTTTGCTCATGTGCAAGGAACGGGTTGGCTTCAGGAACTGTGCATCTCTGCAGCCTCACCTTAAAGTCGAATCATCAAAGAATGCAACAGGATCAACTCAAGATTACCAACCGTATAATGCGACAAAAAGAAATAGCTCACGTTGAAACACAACAGAATACACAGGCAAGGTTATAAACATATATAGCCGTAATAGAAGTAGTTCGGGTAGCTGTCGTGGTTGTGGTAGCATTGCACATTACCCGCAGCAGCGACAGTAGTGGAAAGTAGTGAAGTACTACTTCTAGTAGTCGCCGTCGTCGTCGTGGTCATCGTCGTGGTCATCGTGGTAGTAGTAGTAGTAGTAGTAGCAGTAGTAGTAGTAGTAGTAGCAGTCGTCGTCGTAGTAGTAGTCGTCGTAGTAGTCGTAGTCCTAGTCGTAGTGGTAGTAGTAGTAGTCGTCGTCGTAGTAGTAATAGTGGTGGTGGTGGTAGTGGTGGTGGTAGTGGTAGTAGTGGTAGTAGTAGTAGCAGTAGTGCTAGTAATAGTAGTAGTAGTAGTAGCAGCCGCGGTAGAAGCAGAAGCAGAAGCAGAAGAAGAAGAAGAAGAACAAGAAGCAGCCGCAGCAGCAGCAGCAGCAGCAATAGCAGCAGCAGCAGCAGGAGTAGTAGAAGTAGTAGTAGTAGTAGTAGTCGTAGTAGTAGCGGTAGCGGTAGTGGTAGTGGCAGTGATAGTCGTAGTAGGTAGGTAGTAGCATTACCAGCTGCAACAAAAATAGTAACGTTGGCAGTAGCAACTGTGTTTTTTTCGCGTTCTCTTTCTCATTGTGGTTGTTGTTGTTGGTTGTTGCTGATAGAAGCTAAAGCAGCATAGTAGTCACACGCTGGAACTTCCAGAGTACAAGGTTAGGGTTAGGGCTGAAAGCTTGGGGGCGTCTTGCTTTCGTAGCTGGACTTGCTTCACGCCAGTTGGGTCGGTCAGGAAACAACCGCGTGGCACCCAAGCGGCACGGCGTAAGGCTTTTCCGCCCAGCACCGATTCCGAGCTTTTTCTGCGAGCGCTTTTTGCGATTTGTCCGCTTTTCCCCCCTCTTATCTTTGTCGCTTTCTCTCAGTCGCTTGAGTTTCCTGCGCTAGCTGAGTTTAACAAGGGCCTCCAACCTGGGAAGTAGGTTCAACCCTCCCCATACCACCGGGCACGCCAACAAGTACACTTTTTCTAGCGAAGCCAGTGGAACAATATGCGGTAGGGGCACCAACCGGTGCAAAGAGAATATCGAGCACCAAACCAGACGAACCAGTATACTGGCATAGCTCAGTAGTAGGAGGAGGAGGAGTAGTAGTAGTAGTAGCAGCGCCAGTAGCAGTAGGGTAGTGGTAGTGGTAGTTGGTGGCGGTGGTGGTGGTGGTAGTAGCAGCAGCAACAGTAGTAGTTGCCGTCGCGGTGGTAGTAGGCACTCCCGCAGCGTGTAGCAGTGGTATCAGTAGTTGCTGCTTAAAGAATCATCTTCCACGTCCTAAAAACTAAGACTGGGACCCGAAAAAAGTACAAGTCTGTCAAGAAACACGCGTCGCGTCGTTCATTGCTTCGTTCGCTTCCGCTTTCCTTCTGGGTACGCGGCACAGCCAGTCAATGTGCTCGGGGAGACATCGCAGTTCTCCATGCTGCAAACCACCTCCACCTGAGAAGCTTGACGTTTGGCGTTTGGTTCTCTTCTTTCTCCTAAGATGTCATGAATACAAAAATGAAACATTGCTTTTAAGTTATTCCTTCAAGTTGCAAATGGGTTGTAAGTGGGTTCACCTTGTTCTTGCTTTGTCTTTCGCATTTTCCACCAAGTCTTTGATTTATATCTTCTCCAAGGAGCAGTCCCAGTCCATCCTGGCGCACAAATCCACCCATACTCACTCCAGACGTATCCTGTAGTCGACTCTGCGGGTGGACATTCCATGTTGCATTCTTGAGCGGCCCAAGTCAACCTCGGATCATGGGGGACGTTCCCCCAATTGGAGCCGAAAGCGAAAAGCGATGGGGGAAGCCGGAGAAGCGGGGATAAGAGTAGGAAGGAATAAGTAGACGCAATTGGCGCCGTTCGCCCTTTGAGCCCGGTCCACAGCCCAAACCCCAATCCGAGGCACATTTGATTGGGATTTGTATTGGCCTCTGGGCAGAAAGCCTGCGATGATGGACCCACAAAGAAGGGCGCTTTGCATCGAACTTCACAGTTTCCGCCTCAAAGCCATCAGCTGAAACATTGTTGCTTCACTAAGTCGATCCTCACCTCTAACCACACCCACGGGTCATGTTCATGCGGAGTAATGATGCGTGCTGCGTCGGAAAATCAAGCAAAAACGTTTTCTCGAAAGCACTCAGATGCCTCAACGGGATCTTGGCTTCCGGCCACATCCTACAAGTTCTCCCCCCGCAGAGGCAAATGTTGTTTTGGAAGCAAAGCCGACAAAAGGTTAGGCTGGACCCTTGGCTCATCAACGGAGCTTGCGCATCCAAAGTGTGCACAAGAATCAAACAAATCAAAAGGGGGTAGCAGTTGTTCGACGTTGATTGCGGCGGTCCAAGAGCAGAGTACGCAGGCCTTGTGACTTCAGCGCATGCATTAGGGCGGAGGCAGTTTCCAGTTTCAAAAAAAGAGTTTTACACGGATAGCAAAAATTAATTTTCCCCAAACAGTGTGGGCACACTGAGGGGTTCTTACGGTAGGTGAAAGGAAGCTGATGCTTAGATCGCTGAAGCCCGCGGGCGTGCGCGGCTGATTCGCTGCTGTTTACAGTACATTCATGCCTCTCGACATCGTCACTGCGCATTTCGACTGCGCAGGATCGCAAAGTCTGGGTGGCCGTGGCGGGTGCTTCTAGCGACTGCGCTCTCGTTGTGGCCACGTGTGCATTTTCGCACACGGTGATCCCTTTTCGTGGCAGGCGCAAGGGAAACCTCGTGTTTCGGTGCTTCACAGTCGACTTTTCGTGACAAGTGCAAGGGATCGGAGCTGTTTTACTTCGAAATGCGGTTTTCGTGGCAGGTGCAGCACTTCGGACATGGTGGTGATCGTCGAGGAGCTCAGATTTCGTGACAGGTGCAATGAATCGTGACTTTTGGACAAGCACTCTGTGACCCTCGATGTGCAGATTTCGTGGCAGGCGCAGCACTTTGTGAACCTCAAAGTGCAGATTTCGTGACAGGTACAGCACTTGGTGAACCTCGAAGTGCAGATTTCGTGACAGGTACAGCTCTTCGAAGTGCAGATTTCGTGGCAGGTGCAGCACTTGGCAAAACCTTGAAGTGCAGATTTCGTGGCAGGTGCAGCACTTTGCGCAGATTTTGTCACAGGTACAGCACTTGGTGAACCTCGAAGTGCAGATTTCGTGGCAGGCGCAGCACTTGGTGAGGGGCTCCGGGTTTTTGGTTTCCGGATTGGTGTTTTTGGTTCCCGCGGTGTTTTTTCTTCCCGCGTTGGTGTTTTCGGTTCCCTCGGTGTTTTTGGCTCCCAAGTGGGTTTTTGGTTCCCGCGCGGCGGTATTTTCGGTGCCTGGCTCGGTTTTTTCAGTGCCCGCGGGTGTTTTCAGTTCCTGTGATGGTGTTTTCGGTACCCGCCTTGCGTTGAAGAGAGAAAAATGCACGGATGTTTTCGGTTCCCGCGTCCGGTGTTTTCGGTTCCCGCGTTCGGTGCGTTTACACTAGGTCTCCGGTGTTTCTGGTTTTCGCGTCCGGTGTTTTCGGTTCCCGTGTCGGGTGTGCTGTGATCCCGTGTGAAATGGTGGGAGTCTTGTGTTGTCGCGGGACAACGCGAAAGAATTGTTGTAAAGACACGAACAAACACGAACCACCAAAAGCCACAACCACTACCACCACCACCACCACCACCACCACCTTCACCACCACCACCACCACCACCACCACCACCACGACCAGCACGAACAACAGCAACAACGACCACAACAACAACAACAACCACAACAACCACAACAACCACGACGACGACAACCAACAACGACGACCAACAACGATCAACAAAGAACATGCGAAAATCGACGACAACAACAACAACACCACCACCACCAACAACAACAACAACTACTACTACTACTACAACGACAACGAGCAGCAGAACCGCCGCAGCAGCACCACCAGCAGCAGCAACAGCAGCAGCCGCATCCAGCAACAGCAACAGCAACAGCAACAGCAACAGAAGCGACAGCAACAACAACAACAACAGAAACAACCGCGACAGCGACAGGAACAGCGGCCGCAAGAACAGCGGGAACAGCAACAGCCGCACAGCAGTAAAGGACTGGCTGCATGGCATGCGATCATGTGATACATTCGCCACACGGTCATGAAGGAGCTGTTGCGCGGGTACCTTGGAAGACGGCCAGGCCACTTCCATACGCCTCTCCTGCCAGTGTGAGCAGCAAAACATCGATTGCAGACTCTGAAGACAAACGTGCAATTGAATGGAGTGGAGGAGTCTAGAGCAAGCTTTTGGCGCACGAGCCTCGTCGCGCACCGGCTCATCCTGACAAGGCAGAATGAGCAACGCAGGACAGGCAACAAAGAAGGACAGGTGGCAAAGAAGAACCGCCGCAGCAGCAGCAGCAGCACCACCAGCAGCAGCAACAGCAGCAGCCGCATCCAGCAACAGCAACAGCAACAGAAGCGAACAACAACAACAGAAACACCCGCGACAGCGACAGGAACAGCGGCCGCAAGAACAGCGGGAACAGCAACAGCCAGCACAGCAGTAAGCACGGACAAGAGCGAAACTACGTGCTGCAGAACCAAACAATACTGCTGCAGCTGGGGGCCAAACGACAGCGAAGCGGAGGAATCCAACCTGGTAGGCTCAGATTTAGCAGCGCAAAGCTAAGTAAGCAGAAGCAGCTGCAATTAAGCTACAGACGGGTGTTTTCACTGTAAGGGCACAGTGCTGGCGCAAATAGTCTTTGGCGGTCCAGCGCCAGTTGGCCTGGTACAAGGTTACATGCCAAATTGTAACGGTATGGTAGGAGCGATACACTACATGATAGACAAGTTTGTACCACCTGCCTCGTCTTCTTCGCTGAGGTTCTCCCAGTGCGTCATGGCCAAAAATGAAGCTCTGTATGCTTTCGTCTATGTGTTCGTACAGTGCGGTGTTCTTTGTCTGTTTAATTGTGTGACACGAGTACGCGCTTTCAAATCCAGCGGTGTAACGGCATGGCAGGAGCGATACACTACATGATAGATAACTTTGTACCACCTGCCTCGTCTTCTTCGCTGAGGGTCTCCCAGCGCTCATGGCCAAAAATGAAGCTCTGTATGCTTTCGTCTATGTGTTCGTACAGACAGTGCGCGGTTATGATGGTGTCACCGGGTACCTTGTGTTTTTGCGGCAGTGGGTTTACGCAAACTGACATGTCTTTACAGCGAATGGCTTTGACGGCTTTGCAGTGTTCTTTGTCTGTTTAATTGTGTGACACGAGTACGTGCTTTCAAATCCAGCGGTGCGCAATGGTAGCCAGAAATTCAAACGAAAGCTGACAAACAAACACGTGAAAGGGCACACCAACACAGGAGCCGGGCAGGGAACACATGGTCCAGGACTGAAAACACCCAAACCTGGGAACCAAAAACACCAACACAGGAGCTGGGCAAGGAAAACACCAATCCAGGAACTGAAAACACACAGACCTGGGGGGGAGAACTCCGGGAAGGGAAAACACCAAGAGTGGGAACCAAAAAAACAATACAGAAGGCGGGAAGGAAAAACACCAATCCAGGAACTGGAAACACCAAGACCTGGGAACCAGAAACACCACGGGAACTGAAAAAAACAATCTGGCAAAAGGAAACACCACGGGAAGGGAAAACACTAATCTGGGAACTGAAAACACCCAACCCCTTGGGTGAGCCTCGAAGTGCAGATTTCGTGACGACAGCACTTGGTGAACCTGGAAGTGCAGATTTCGTGGCAGGCACAGCGCTTTGTGAGCCTCGAAGTGCAGATTTCGTGGCAGGTGCAGCACTTGGTAAACCTCAAAGTGCAAATTTCGTGGCAGGCGCAGTACTTTGTGCTCTCAGACGCTCACTCTCTCACTCTCCCACTCTCACCCTCCCACTTTCATTCACACTCACACTCGCACACACCCACCTTCACGCTCACTCACACTCACTCAGACTCGCACTCACTCACGCACACACTCACTCACACCCACCTTCACGTCATCACCACCATCACCTGGACCCCAATGCGTCTATATCTCTAGACTTTCTGCTTACAGACCTCACACACTGTTTGGGGTCTCTTGCCGGGATAATACAATGTTCCCAAAAAGGTCGAGCTATTCCGCGTCAAGGACAAACCGGGTGCCCAAGACCAGGGTGCAAATGATCGTTCCTGCGGTTGACTAAACGAGAAACCACGCATCAAAAATATTGAGATTCCAAAACACACTGGGGATTCCTGCTGTATTGATTCCATGTTTTTTTACCTCCTTCTCTGTATTTATCCTGTCGATCTGCATGCTTCTTGACCAGGTTCCTGGCCTGAAGGAACGGCTTGACACTCAGAGACATCGAAGCCGCAAGCAGCCTGCCTTGGAACTCAGAAAACCATCTTGAAAGCTCCGTTCGTAGCGTCGCTCCTAGTAGTACGGCCAGGAGCCCCTAGTAGCGTCCTTGTTCCTAGTAGCGATAGGCTTTGCTCGTAGTAGCGTCCTCTACTCATAAATAATAACCGTCCAAAGATGTCCCCGTCTTCATAAGGAGACAACAGAAATGCCTGCAAAAGATATCTCAAAAAATCAAAAAGCATGATCAAAACATGTCCTCCTAAAAAAAAGGTGCTCGAAAAAGTAATAATGGTCTAAAGAAGAAATATAAACAAACAAAATGGTTGAAGACAAATTGAAGAAAAAGGTCTAAAGAGAAACGACAGTCCAAAACAATGGTCTAAAGATTTTCTCGTCTTCCAAAAGACAAAGGCTAGAGTAAAAAAATGTCTGATCAAAAAAGAAGAAAGTCCTCAAAAGAGTCTCAAGGAAAAGGACAGAAAAAAGTCTAAAGAAACCCGAAGGTCTGAAACAAAGTCGTCGTCTCCAAAATGAATCCCTAGAAGAACATGTATAAAGAAAACGAAAAAGTCATTGAAACAGTGGGCACAAAAAACAAATGTCTACAGAAAGAAGTAGGTTCAAAACAATCATTAAAAACGGTCCTCATCATCGCAGAAAGGGTTGTCTAAAGACGACCAAAAAGGTCCAAAGAACTAACAACAGTTTGCTCTGAAAAAAAAGAAACAGAATGTTTACAAGAAAGCGAAAGTCCAAAGTCCAAGATAATGATCTAAAGATGTCCTCCCTACAAACAAAGATCAAGAGCCAAAAAACGAAATCCTAAACAGAAGGTCTGAGAAAATAAACAAGAATGTAGTCAAAAGAGAAAAGAAGGTCCAAAACAATCGTCTAAAGATGTCCGCGTCTTCAAACAAAAAGGCTAAAGGCAAAAAGGAAGGTCTAGTTCTCAAAGAAAAAAATCCTAAACAAAACGTCTTGAAAAAGTAAGAAAACATCTAAAGGACAAATTGTCCAAAACAATGGCCTCAAAAAAACAATAGAAAAACAAAATCAAAAACAAGAAAGTGCTAAAGAAAGGAGCATGATATGCAATAATTCAAAAAAAGAAGGTCCAAGGTCTAAAAGCAATGGTCTACAAATGTCCTCACCTTGAAAAGTTTAAAGAAAAAGGAGAGGTCTCAGGAAGGAAAAATGAGCCTCAAAAGGGTCTGAAATAAAAGTCTAAAGAAAGAACTGTCAAAAAAAAAAATGTCCTCGTCCGCAAAACAAAATGTCTCCTCCCCATGGTTTGCGCAAATGTGTTTCTGTTTTGTGTATCTGTGTGTTTCAAGTTTGGTGTTTGTTGATTTCCTTAGAAATAGTTTTTGCTTTTTGCGCATCCATTACGGGAGAGGACGCATCTGGGGCTTGTTGCGAAATCAAGTTTGAGGCCGGCAATGCGCAAGCGCTGATGTGTAGTTTGGCAGCGCGGCGGTCCGAAGAGGTGGCAGTCTTTGTCTAACAACTAGCTTCTTGTTTCTACTAGCTTCTTGTTACTACTAGTAAGGCACTT